TGTGATAGACTCCTACCGGTATCGGTTGACCTAAATTTTCCTACTGCCCACTACGTCGCTCACAGTGATTTGTGAACCTTAACATCAATTTAATCCCATTTCATGCTCCAGAAGGGCAAAAAAAATCCACTCTGTAGCGCCTTACCGATTCCTGTTAGCAAGACAATCGAGGCTCCTAGTAGAGAAGCTGTGTGGTTTTCAAATGTTGGCTGCATGATTTTATATCAGTGATTTGCTTTTGCTGTCGTTACAACGTTTTCTTCTCTCCACAGCTCAGAGCTGAAATGGTAATTTTTACACCAAGGCAACTTTTGCAGGCGCTTGCTGCTGATACTTGCGGGGTTTGATCTATGAAAAGGCTTTATAATTCCCGCTCATAGTCATCCGTGCCAGCAATGCACTATTTGCATTACGTTTCTGAGGCAGTCATATTCTTTGCTATATCATCTTTTATATCCTATCTGTGACTGAAACTCTCCATTCGACCGCTTTATTGAAGACCTTGCTTGAACAAAAATCTATTTCTATTATTTCTTGCTCGGCGTCGATTTCTTTATAGTGGAGTATAGCCTCAAGGGATCGCCTGTACCGACGACGGTGCTACTGATGAATCCCGGTGGGAAGAATTAGGCGCCAGTACAGCACTTAGACCTTGGTGGCTCAAAACGAATTATTTTATTGATTAGAACCTGTAAAAAAACTTAACATTTCACCAAATGCAGCAGTGGATGTCTTCACGTACAGGTCTTTGTGAGTCTGTAAGTTGCTGTGATGTATTCAGGCTTCTCTGTTTTTACCATTTACTCAGTCAAACACCATGAACGTTGGAGCTATTTGCGCCTTCTTACACGTAGTTACGTTTCGAATGCATTTTCTCATGTGTTAGTAGCATTGAGCCTGATCCATTCTACATCGGAATCACACCCGCCTCTAATCACCAAGCACAAGTAAGGTTGAAATCTCAATTATTTTCTCTTCGCTCAACTCCTGGAAAAAGCACTCAACGTGTCAGTTGCTTACGTTTCTCAAGCACAAAGGCAGAAGCTTTCAATAACTTACAACACCATCACTGCACAAGCTGTTTGTGAGCGTGTTATTGTGAAATATATGTCAGCAGTTTTTTTTTCCGTTTTTTTCACTTAGTCATCGTCTCTATTGTTCTAACATAGATCTTCATTTCCTTGAAAACAAAGTGTTTTTATGAATATTCAATTTTCAAATGTGAAGGCGGTAAGTCATTTCGCTGGTGAATAATTATTCTCAAAGGTGAACATCTGTAGTTTTAGATTGGTGCGATCTTTCTCCCTCTCTAAATACGCCTTTCAACAGGGCAGCAGTGCATTGACATACTCTTGAAAAAAGGTAGTAGATTTCTCAATTAAGATACCACTATTAGAAGACAACTTTTTGACATGTACTTGGAATAAGAGCTTATTCAGTCATTACAAGCCATTAAAATTTTTGTGCTCAAAAGACCTAAGCAACTGACATGTTTTGTTGTTTTTCCAAATTTGAGTTGAGTAGAGACATCACAGATATAGTTTATGTCCTTTGTTATTTTCACACCTACCTCATTACTGTTTAAAACAAAAGTCCTGATAAATGCTTAATGCTCTTTATGAAATAGATGTGACTCCAATTTGTAAAACAGATTATTTCTCAAAACAGATTATATATATATATATATATATATATATATATATATATATATATATATATATATATATATATGATGGCGACCACGTGGTGAATGCTATTAGCCTGCGAGCGACTTTAAAATAATCAGACAACAGCGTGCTAGAAGTTCACTGAACATTTCCCTTGCACAGTTAAAATACCGTTTGAACCACTTCAGAACATATGTTTTCAATTATAAAATGTTATTAACAAAGAAGAAAATGCATTCCACATCGCGATTTCGTAAAAAAAAGGCTCAAATAGATGTAATGTTTATGGTGTTCACGTTACAGACTTACATAGACTTTTATGTTGAAAAACCCATTACTGCATTCATCAGATATTTTCCATATATTCATCAGTGATAAATTGTAGAAACGCGTGAAGCTGGATCCAAAGATTTGAGTTTCGAAGCAATAAAGTTATATGCTGAGAAATGAGGAAGATGTTATCATAGAAAACGTGATAAAAACAATTCTGTTTGGCCCGGATGACTGTGGTCAGCGATTATATCGCTATTTTATGCATTAAACCACGTACGTGCCAGCAACAAACATTAGTGAAAGCTTCTTTTATGTGAAGATTGTCAGTTCAGAGTTGAGCAGTGAAGAGAGGAGATTATTCAAAGCCAGCAAAACCGATTAATAGACATGATTTTATGCGCATAACATTTGATGACCACATTACAGCTTCTCTTTCACTAACTCCAACTTCTTTGCTCTCAGGAACCGATGTGAGCTTTGAAGGGCAGTTTTTCCTAGCCTTTTTGAAACACTGATTGGAGTAGAAATCGCACTAAGGATCACAAAATTATGCTGACCAATTCAGTGGGTTGTAGAGGAAAATTTTACGCCGCTCCTTATTGTCAAGTGAGCACTAAAAAGTGAATTGGAGGTTATATTCACTCAATAATATGACTATGTAGAAAATAGAGACTGTTTTCGAGCCGATCAAGATGAAATCATTCTCGTTGGTTTGATATTGAAATTGATTGAAAAAAAGGGTAGCTGGCAAAAGTGCAATTCAGAATCGCAGGACAGCTGATGTAATTAATGTTCTTCTAGAAATGGTACGTCAGCGATCACAGTTGCTACAGAACTATTGTTCATAATTAATCGATACTTTCTTATGAATCTTTGCAAACCTATTTTCCACTAAAAATTATAGGTTCCTCGAAACTCCATTAAACTGAGAACTGCTACAGATACATAGAATATGAATTGGCCATCCCTGGACGTCGTGAGATTAAGCTTTGCCCTTGACGACGATCAGGTCTCGTTTTATTCATAAGTTGGTGAATACCAAAGAGAAAGTTCTGGCATAATTCTACAGCAGCTCCTCATTATCACTTTTATAGGATTGTTACCTTAATCTAACTACGTATTTAAAAACACTGAGTGTTGTCCAAAACTGTAAATCTGAAGCGGGTTTTATGAGCATAAAGTTGTAATGTCATAACATTGCTATACGACGTGTAAAACAAAGAATTTTTTGCAGTTTATATATACATATATGTGAATGTATGTATATACAAGTATGTACACATTTATATTCATTGTGAAGAACAAGTTCTGCTCTCCCTCAAACAAACCAGCATAAGTGATCAAACGAATCAATCGGAGAGCCACTGAAAGCCGTTCTTCATTCACATCTCGTTCAGAAAGTGAATAAGAGAGGGCAACCTCGATATTTTTGACAATGTTTCGGGTGCTTGGTTTGCTGATATCGAGTCTTTGACAATTTGAGCCTCAAACGCCCCATATTTTGTCGAATCTGGCAACGGATGTTCCGAGTATTTTTAGAAGCAGTGGATGGACGCTTTCTTGAGAACGATTCTCAGTCCTTTTGTTTCAAGAGTTTTCTCAAGACCACGCTCAAATTTTAACATATCGCGTAATTATTATTTGCGCCATCATGTCATGTGGTGACTTGTGGAGTCCCATACACGTGTTCCGACCTTGATGGTGTGTCTCATCAGTCGGGCGGTACCCTTCGTCATCAGCCAATCCTCTCGGGGCCCTCAGTTCTCTATACTAAGAGTAAGAGACGACGAACATTTGACACTGTCTGTCAAGTGAAATTATTCTCGATTAGACAGTGTTGCACACTTGACTACTCTTGGCTGGTGTCGTCACTATATCACACGTTTCTTTTAGAGTGTTTTCTCAAGACCACGCTCAACTCTCAGCATGACTCGTAAATATTATTTGGATTCACAGTCTCTATGCAACGTTTCACTGCTCTGTAGACTTCTTGTGTTAAAACTAGATATTTTAATAATGCTGTCCTCTATCATTTCCGTCCTGTGCAACTCAACTACTGTGATACGTTAATTTTTCATTATCCATAATTCAAGCACAAAGAAATTAGACAAGGAAGTAAAACACATTTTATACTGTTGAACAAAGAGCTCATTAAAAGTATCGAAACTGATATAAAGATGCTATGTTATTGCGAAAATTAACTAAATGCAAAATTGACAGTTTTGCTGCGTCCTGATTATATAAAATAAATCAGTGAGTGGGACAATTTCACTCAAGTGAAACTATTCAACTGTAATGAAATAAATTTTATATCTATTGACTCAAAAGTTCCTCTCACAGTAAAAACAAGTGATTTAGGATTCACGTCAGGAAAAATAGTGTTCACGAAATTCTCTACAATGTCTACGGATTGCGTAGAAAGTGCGGTCAATTTTGTAATTAGATAGTATTAGCACTGATATTTCTATTATTAATACTGATCATTTTACTGAATTCTTTGTTCAACTTTAGTCCAGTGACCGCTCTTTTTACTTGTCTATTTTCAAGTGTGCTCATGTTATGAATCGTAGTAATCAACATGGGGCAGTATTTAATTTGCGAAAAATTTTGTTTTTATTTATATCTAAGCGAATTAAAAGAAGAGCAAAAATACAACCTTAGACGAGAGTCGAACTCGTGTTTCAACCCTACCGGGGACTCGGGCTACCACTACACCACCGAGGCACATTTGCGTCACCACTCATTCTCCAATATCTAAAAGCATAAACGTTAGCAGTCAGCCACCAGCCCAAACAGGGTGGTCGTGTATGCGATTTCGTTTTATGAACCCAGTTGAGCTGACAGTCACTGTTAGATATAAAACTTGAGAACTCTAGTGTTTTTAGTGCTTTCGTGGTGTTATGATGTTTCATATATACCTAAGCGAACTGAGCAGTGAGCAAAAACATGGAGCAAATGGCGCAAATATGCCCCGGTGGTATAATGGTAGCAGGCGCCCTAGTATTTATAAAACACGGGTTCGATTCCCGTCTGAGGTCGTAATTTACACACAATACTGTTCGCTTAGGTATATATGAAACATCATAACACTGCGGAAAAGCAGTAAAAGTATTAGAGTTCTCGACTATCTTGTTTCTCTTCGTAATTACTGATCTAATAAAGGTAATTATTCCTTTAAATGAATCGATACATTTGTTTACCCGGTATTTTTCCATGTTGGACATCTTAGAAAAGGGCAAAACTATTACGCATCCTGAATACGTGATGTTTTACAAGCGCGTTATCGCTGAGGTGGTAGGATGGCTCTGCCATAAATTTTATGATGGCTGGAGAAAAAAACCGATCGTGGTTTGAGAAGGAAGCATAACTAAGAACAGGGAAGTAGAGGTGCACTCTGCGATTATATCAAAACTACAGAAGGTCTGTTCGAGAGCTAGAGGATAGCAGTGTTAGGAGAGAGAAACTTTTCATTCAATACTTATTCAATCGTCCAGGCCGAACATCATACTCAAGATTAATTTTGTACAATCAGTCGGAAATCATTTTTATTTGACCGTCTACTGCGGTGTTATGATGTTTCAATAAACAAAATGATGTAGAGTGGTGTGCAAAAACGTTTGCGTCAGCCGGGATTTGAACTCAGATCTTAATCTTTCCAGGACGTGGTGTAACGGTTTAGCACATGCTTCCGGAACGATTAAGATCTTTTGTCTGAGAAGTGGCAGGGAAGTGCTTGAAATTGAAGGGGAGTATTTGACTATTAGTTTTCTCTTTATTCGGGTGTAAGTGCATGAATAAATGTTTGACAAACATTTTCTCAGAACTTCTTCCCTAGCCTATTAGCAATGAACCTGGGAAGTCTGTCACATCTATAAAGGAGAGCCTCAAATAGCCTAAATATGTGAACTAATTCATACGGCAGAAGGCATGCCGCCCATAGACAAGCATGACAGCATTCACATTACTCAACGAAGCTTGATAAATTGGGTAAGAGGTTAGAGCAAGATAAACAATATAGCAGTGTGCCAGTAAAAAATACATTTTTTCATTAGTGTTACTTCAAAGAAATGCTAAAAGTTTGCATCTCTGAGAAATTACAGGCAAAGCTGTGCAGGCCAATGGACTGGTCAGTTTCTCCCTAGGAACAACATTCTTTGTGTTTTCGTCAATGGCAAAATGATCAGTAACTAGATCAGGAGTAGAAGAAAACTGCTACAGCGTTCTTCCTTGTTTTGAAAGTAGCCAATCAAATAAAAGTTCATGCATTGAAGAAAAAATCTATATCGTCTTCAAAGCAAGTGAAGCGGCAGTAACAAAAATTGCCAAATGCAGATCAGATCTGATAGCGTTTTTTCATGGACGAGTACATTCACAAGTGAGCTATTTTATCTCATAAATCTTGATACTAGAGCACTAAACACCAGATTTATCAACTAAAACCAGTAGAATTGCTCCAGAACACTATTTCAAATATGCGCCCTCAGTCTGAAAATATTTCTGCCACGTCTCAGGCGACAACTCAATACCGTTTCGTGCAGAATTTTTTGAGTCTACTGTTGGTACCAAATCTGTTCATAGTTTCCGCATCATGGTCGCTCAACAAAGCTTTTCTCGCAGTTTGCTTTTTTACGACTACGAATTGAGACGCTGTGCACAGACCGTTTTTGGAATCATCAACTGTTCAAAGGCTCAGAGACTTGTGTTCAGACGAATAGCGTTTCGGCTCCTTGCTGAATTTGGCGCCGGCGACACCAGCTTAAAGGATCACCTGCGTTTCGCACGTCCGCCAAGTGACGAAGTTGACCTACTCACGAACTGCGAGTTGCTGGATAATCCGCCATACGGTTCGATTTATCTCCGTGACTATCATCTCTTCCGGGTGGCTGGAGCACTTCCTGAGCAGGTGCAAGTTTTAAGACATCAATCATTTGCGTGGAGGATTAGAGCTTTCTTTGAATTCAGTTATGACGAGTTCTATGAGTCCACACTGATTTGTTGCCGGAGAGATGGCAGAAATGTGTTCTGGCTGATGGCTTATACATTGAATAGCGTTATTGAACACCTTTAATTACTTCCGATAGACACTCATTGCTTACATTTTAGTGCCAAATTTGTGAGAAGTCCTTGAAAATCCTATTAATTTTGAAAGTACATTACAGTTATAAGAAGATAAATAAATATTCAACCTCAATCGCTTTACAGGACTTTTTCGTAGGAGTCTGTTAGCGACCATTGAGAAGCTTGAATTTTTGGCTACAGCTTTATGCAGTCGGTTTTTCAAAGCACCTTCTATAGCGTCGTAAAATATAAAATAAAACTATGTTTTACATCACCCGCGCGCCTTCATATCACGCGCATAAATCGCCGGAAG